GGTGTGGATGTTCTGAAAGTGGTATATGGACCTTAGTGAAGCCCAGGTGATGCATCTCCTACGTGATATATCAGCATAAGGGATTGCACTGCCAGATCAGACCACCTAGTCCAGCACTTGACAGAGCTGGAAGGTGATATCCAGTGTCTATTGCTTGTCCCAAGGTTCTGGCTCTGATCAATATGCTGCCTCCAGACCAGACTTCACAAATCCAGTGCCTTCCTGATGCTTCAGACTGCATCTTCCTTTAACCCAAGTCATGGCAGGTTGTGCTGCTTGGGGCAGATGGCAGTTGTAGTCCAAAATATCTGGAGAATGCCAGGTTGCAGAAGGCTGCACACGGTTGCCCTTGGTTGCAAATATTATTCTGCCCTTTCAACTTCTGCTTTAGGAGAGACAGGGAGGTAAGTGAACATGCCCATGAGGACCAACTGTGGTCATGGATCATCGAAACATCTGGCATCCTGGCAAAAGACAGCTCATTTTTTTTTGTTATCTATTCCCTCTTCATTAGTATTCCACCAATGTTTGGAAGCAGAAGAATACATTAACCTTTCCAAAGGATGCATTCTTCCTCCATGCTCTCAAAAACCATTTGGAAGAGTCCTTTATGGCTTCCTCACTTTCCTCCTGGAGACTGAACGTTGCAGGCACTTCTTTGCAAGTGTAATTCTCCTCATCTTGTAGCCCCTCACTTTTTCCTTGTCTACTTTGCACCCTCTCAGTCCAGCTATGGCCATGCCCCATCTTTAAAGAAGCAAACACCATGACATATAGACATGTGACACATTATATTGAGTATGTCTTTATGAGGCAGGTACTCATGACAAGTATTCATGTATGTTCCTTCTTTATTAGAGGCCTTTAATCTTTCCGGTCAAGTTTCTGAATATAAACTCCACCCATTTTCTTTGTAAACTGTCTTTGCCTTCCTTCAATATTGTCCTCAAGTGTACTAGAAGAAGAAGAAGAAGAAGAGTTTGGATTTGATATCCCACTTTATCACTACCCGAAAGAGTCTCAAAGCGGCTAACATTCTCCTTTCCCTTCCTCCCCCACAACAAACACTCTGTGAGGTGAGACTTCAGAGAAGTGTGACTAGCCGAAGGTCACCCAGCAGCTGCATGTGGAGGAGTGGGGAAGCGAACCCAGTTCACCAGATTACGAGTCTACTGTTCTTAACCACTACACCACACTGGCTCTCAATGCCCTCAATGCAACACGAGTCAGTTTTGAATGGTGTAAGTAAGACGTGCATGTTTAAGCACACAAAAGGACACTTTTCCAGCAGGAAAGAAGACTGGCACATACAGGATCACTGCTGTCTCTCTGACCATGTGCAGACAACCTGTGATCAAGATAACACCAAGTGTGAAGGAGGCATGGGCAAATGAACCCAACAGCTGGGGGGAAAGAGTATAAGAGCCACACAGAGTCCACTGGGTGTACGATGAGTTCATTGGGTGGCAGTCGACTAAGTTCTACTCACTGTAGACCTGTTGGAATTAATGGACATAATTTAGTCATGCTCATCAGGTTTCCGCTAATTAAAACTTAGCTGAATGCCACCCATTGTCTTTCTAGTTCACTCTGGAAACAGCGGCTTGTTTTAATGGAGAGCCAATTGGTTGTAGACTTTGGCCAAGCAATAAGGCAAGCACTTCGATGCTTCCACTTCTTTCCAGATGGCCAGAATGGATGACTGGTCAGTTTCACCACACAGCCAATGGCTTCACACTCCTGCTTCTCTCTACACAGCTTCAACAATGTGATTTTTTAAGCAGTTGTTGTCACCCCGCCACGAATGCTCATCTGAAACCACCTTCAGGATTGATACATATATTCCCATGTGTGGGAGCTATTTTGTGCTCCCAGTTCCCTAAATAGATAATTTTTTTCGTAATAAAATAAATTTTAAAAAATCAGGCTGAAACTCAATTAGAGGATTTTTAACTTTTGAAATCATCGATTTTTAGTCAATTCAGTTATTGATTAAATTTTAATGTCAGTAAAAACGTTTCTGCCAAAGGAAGCTTCACTCATTGGGCTAACAGTAGTTTCAGGTGGGGAAATTTTCATTGACACCGTGGTGGTAGGAAAGGGTTAAAGCCCCTTTCTGCCCCTGATCCTATTTGGGCCCTCAGCACAGCTATTTCTCTTTTAAAATAATAATAATATGTGTGCATACTAATTACTTCCCCCGCCACCCTGGGTCAAGCTAGATGTGATATCAATTTCATATAAGCAAACATCTCCAAAAAACCCTGATACTGGTCTTTAAAGTAGCATCATCCCTAAACCTCACTCCCACAAGCAAGCAACATGCATTGACAACCTCCCCTGCCTCCAAGCTGTTATCTGCCAACTCTGCCAGCTGCAAAACTCACACTTCTGTCTCCTTCAACAGCAAACAATTTCTCACCAGCCTCCACCTAAGCCAGTGGGTTGTCAGTATCATGTAATCATCAGCCATCAATGATTATTTTAACAGATCTCTACTAGCCATCAATGCTCATTAAAGAAACATTGTGTGCTATTAGATTCTTTATTTTTTTTAAAAAGTTCCTCCTAATAGTTATTTCTTGATATAATGCCATAGCATTTTTCTCAAATTATATCAGAGAGATGCTTATAGCAAGTTTGTCTCTATCAGGATGTTGCAATTTTCTGGCTCTAATTTGATGCTACAGATCATTTTATAAGCTCTTAGTGTTAGCCATACGAGTGTAGTGGCCTTATGCAAATAAACTGATACAGAGTAACAAATCTCTGCCCAAATGGGCTGTCATCATATTGAAGAAATCTTAGCCAATTAATCATATGATTTAAGTCACTTAATTGATTGGTTGATTAAATTGACAGATGGGTTGAAAGAATTCTGAAGCGAGAAGCATACTTTCTTGGTGTGTATGTTCTGCACACTTAGCATTCAGCAGAAACAGCCCCGCCTTTTAATGGGCCTACTCTGAGTAGGGTTGGAAGAAGCATTTGATGCTCACTTTTGTGCGCACACACCTTTTTGATTAGAAGGAGCTGAAGGAATATTTAAAATAAAGAAATCACATAAAATTGTATGTATATCTAGCTTGCTACCTGATTTAGTTGATTAAAAGGTTTTAATTGATTAATGTAACAAATTGATCAATTGCATGCTGCAGCCCTACTCTTGAGTGATCTTCAGTGTGCACCTCTCTGCAAACTCCCTTAACCTCCCAAAGGATCACCTTCCCGCCAGGGTCCCAATTTGAATAAAATATTGGAGGGAAGGTAAGCCCCACCCTGCATAATCAATCACAAGATGTGGTGCATTGAAATATACTCGGAGTCGAGAGTGGATTTCATGCTCTTTATTCAGCTCATAGTGGGGAGGAGGAATGAAAGTTCCCTCAGAATGTGCTTTATATTTACACTATTATTTACACAATGGGCCCCACATGATTGGCTAATTCCGGGATTCACCTGTAGGCCAATCAGGCTGCGGATTCACTTCCACCTGGAGCTGGATTGGGTGGCTCCTGTGGACCAATCAGACTGCTGCATTCTGGACCCTATTGTTCTGGGACCAATCAGACTGCTGCATTCTGGACCCTATTGTTCTAGGACCAATCAGACTGCTGCGTTCTGAATCCTATTGTTCTAGGACCAATCAGACTGCTGCATTCTGAATCCTATTCAGCTCAGTACATAACATGCATATACACCATTTGTCTATTAACTTTGGGGAGGACTCCAGCCCAGCTCCCTCAATTAGTTTATTTTGGGGAGCGAAGGAACCCTGGCCCCTAGAGTTGGCTCCTACACTTTCCCCATTTCCCCCCCCAAAAGCCCACACTCCAAATCACAACATGAATTTGCTCCAGCTGTGGCAGCTTACCTGCTGTTCTCCACTCTCCCCACACACACACACCTTCCTACAAAGCACTCCATGCTCTTTCAGTCCCAAGGCAGTCCATGGGCATAGCCAGGGGGGCAGGGGGGCAGCTGTCCCCTCTAAATCAAGTAAATAAATATGTAGCTAACTGACAAATTGCATCGCTGACAACTCGGTACTGTCCCCCAACATAAACCCTGCCCCCCAACATAAACACTGCCCCCTAACATAAACTCTGCCCCCCTAACATAAACTCTGCCCCCTAACATAAACTCTGCCCCCCTAACATAAACTCTGCCCCCTAACATTAATCCTGCCCCCCTAAAATAAATGCTCCCTACGCCCATGCCCCCCTCCACTGCAAACCCTCTTCCGGAAAGACTCCTCCTTTACCCCTTTCCACAACTTCCCATTTAACGCACGAAACCCCATATGAAACCCTTCATCGTCTTCTCTCCTCCTGTCTCAGAAACAAAACTCTCTGGGTTGGATCCAGGCAAAGTGAGTGGACCTGCGGTCCCATTAAAACCAATGGGGCATGTTAGGCATGACTTAAATTTCCGCTGGAATCAATGGAACTCCAGTGTGTTCCATCCCTTCATCCTTGAAACGAAGCCACCAAGAGCCCTTGGAGCAAAAAAAAACCCCGAAAACAGTTCATTTGGAGCTTCTCTAAGCAAACGCGCACGCACGCACACATTTAAAAAAATCCACACAAAAGTGCTGCTCGTTGCCACTAGACTTGGGTTTGACAGTAAGGTCTGGCTCTGCAGCTAAAGACCTTTGCCACGCGCCCCACCTCCCGCCAGTCCTAGGCTAGATTCTCCACTGGGTAAATGGGTGGCGTCTCCTATGTTCTTCTCCTTTCACGGTCACACCTGAACGCGGCCGGTTCAAAGTGCCTGCCTCCTTGGGCATCCCTTTTCTACGGGAAGGGAGGTCCTGGAGGGCGCGCAGGGGAGGCGATGATGGCATGTGGAAGGAGGAGGCTGCGGGTTAAGGTTGGGGAGGGGGCGGCTGCTGCCATTGGACAACTTTCCCCCCCCCGCCCTTGCCCCCGTGGCTTTTCGGAGATCGGCGACCTCTAGCAGCCCAGGCGCTCCGTAGGGAGCTCGCTTTCCCCTTTGGAACCAGCCGGACCACCCTGCCCAGACAGGCGGGGAAAGCGCTAGGTGCGCCCAGGGCGCAGGACGAGGGAACTCCCCAAGGTGCCGCCGCCGCAGCTGTTGCTCGCTTCGCCGGACATTGCTGGCAAGGCGCAAAGGTGCCTTCGGAGACTGGGCCAGCTCGGCGCATGCGCCGCTCTCTCCGGCATCACAGCTCTGCCTGTGGATTGAAAGTTACATCCCTTGAATCTTCGCGGGAGGGGGTGGGGAGAGGGAAGGGGGAGAAAGAGGCAGCAACTCTCCACCCGGAGGAAGGAATGTGGGCAGCTCGGCCGCGGGAGCGCGTGGGGATTTTGCTCTTCCCGGCGATGATAGCCATGGTCTGCTATGCCAAGAGGTGAGATTGGCGCTTGGGCGCGAGAGGACGTGTGTGTGTGTCTCTCTGTGTGTGTGTCTCTGTGTGTGTGTGATGGGCTGAATGATGGACCTCATCTTCCGGGGAGCTCAGCTCCGTGGATTTCTTCCTCTGCTGGGAGGCTGGTCGGGATCCTGCTTGTGGCTGCGTCGGTGCCTGTGTGTGTGCGTTCAAGCGCTCGCTCTGAATCTTTCCCTCTCCCTCAGCCTGAATGAGCCCAGCAACATGTCCTACGTGAAAGAGACCGTGGACAAATTGCTGAAAGGATACGACATTCGCCTGAGGCCGGACTTCGGAGGTGAGTCTCCTCGGATTTGTTTACAAGGGGGGATCACCAGGCTGCGTGCCGGTCCCTGTAGGGTCAGAGGCAAGGGCCGGTTGGAATTCTAATCAGCCGGGGAAAGGGTCCCTGATAGCCAATTCCTTTCCCTCAAAATGGGCACGTTCTCTTTTCTCTCCCCCACCCCCCTCATACACACATTCGGACATCTATAGACATGCTCCAAACGTGTGGGCTCTAAATTGAGTCAGCAAATCGATGTCCTTATATAAACGGATTTTGCTGGGGTCGGGTGGTAGGCTTTCAGATTTCACAAAGCTCTTCGTCAGACATGAAAAAGAGCACACCAACGTTTAAGCACGTGAACAGGTACAGGACGCACTTGAGGCTCATAAATCCTGACCTTCCAACCCTTTTGACTGCTGGCCATTAATAACAAACACCTGTTTCCGTTTCCAGGCTCTCCCGTTGACGTTGGCATGAGAATAGAGATTGCCAGTATAGATATGGTCTCGGAAGTCAACATGGTGAGTACTCTCTCTTGGAATAAATAACATTGGGCGGAGGGGACGCAAGGCGCTCTCTGAGATTGCAGAGAGATTGGCCGTTTGTCGAGTTTAATGTCGTGGCGTCCTGTTCTGAGGTGTGCTGGAGAAATCAGTTTGGGGAAGACTTTGGCTGCTGCCACCTCGTTCGCCTCACCTTTTCGAAATGTGGAACGGCGCCACCTGCCGACCGCCGCAGGTCACGAACTGGTTTCAGCACCGCGGACAGCGACCTGTGCCTAGGCTTTTAAAATGGTATTTCTACGCTTCTTCCGCTCTCGCCTTCTGTAGCGTTTGATTTGGATAAGAAATTAAACTGCAATTGTATTGGGGTGAAATAGAATAAAAAGAGGGGAGCCGAATGGATAGCCAGTTGATCTTTGGGAATCAAATGCTGAAAGGATGCGCAAGTGCAAAAAAGGGGTGCAAGCATGCAGCTTAGCCTTATAGGACTTGGTATGCAACTGGTAGCTTCCTGTAATCTAACGACTGCAGCTCTCGTTGCAGTGATCTAGCTTGGCATGCGGGTGATGGAGGGGAATATTTATAATAAGAAGCCATATTTATTTCATTTTACTTTAAGACTGTGCTGATCTTATTTAGGTAACAAATTATTGCTGCTATTCAGTGATGGGCTAAATCAGTGTTTGGTTCATTAGGAAGGGTTGGCAGCTGAATTGCTACTGGAGATACAGACGCCTGTTGATTCCACCCCCCGCCCCACAGTGTTTTGACAGTCTCTTGTGAAGATGAACAGTAACTGCTGAGTGATGATTGCTGAATATCAGTGCTGACTTGAGGGACTCCTGCTGAGTAATAAAAAACAATGAGAATAATTAAGTATGAAGGTCTGGATGACTTTATTCAAGAGACAACTCAGATTATGGGTTTGAAAGCTTACTAGAATATGTCCCTTGGTGTGTCTTGTTTGCAGCTGGGAAATGAGGGCCATGCAATATTTATTGTTGATTTAGTAGATTTATATGCTGCTTTATGACTACAGCCCTCAAATCATCTCACATTTATTTGTTTACAGTATTTATACTCTGTGACAAAAAGCGACAAAAGTTATCTGGGTGCCTTACAATAAAACAATTATATGCAAAATTAAAACCTAAAAAATAATAATTAAATATCGCATAAAAGATCAACAGCAGCACCAAACATTTCACAAAACTCCAGAAACAACAAATTTATAAACAACAAAACAGTTTTAAGATTTAAAAGCCTGGGAAAAGAAAGGCATGGGGAAAGGAAACAAGTAATCACCTGGTTCCATTTTTTCAAAAGCCAGAGTATATGCATAGTATATGCACCAAGCAAGACTATCTGGGCTGCTACCACTGGGGTGTTCCCTAGCAGCCAACTACCCGACCTCATTTGTTACAAATATGAAACTGATGCAGCAAGAAGCATGCACTTGAAAACAAAGGCCGCCCCACTCTGCTTGAGCAGGAGCTAACAGCTGATGTTATTTCCCACAAGGCAGTTGGATCAGATGGCCCCCTATTGAGTGGAGGGGATAGTCCAGCTGGCACAGACCCAGGCATTTTGCATGACTCTTGCTCCTGGATTCCTTATCACAGGCCAGTTGGCCTTAGATGGCCCTGCGATGGGGAAGAGGAAGTCCAGCTGGGGAAGAAGCAGGCTTCTGGTGTTTTACTTTGCCTGCCTGCCTCCTGCCTGCCTACCTCCATATGTTTTCGTTTCCTGCATTGAGTAAATAGCTTTGCACAAAGAAGTCTTGAGGGCCAATTTGTACTACTATTTTTTTGTCAGTGCTGAATTTAATCCAAGATTATTTTTAGCAGTCATGGTTACAGATATAGATATTCACAGTATACCACCCCCATCTTTATTGTCTTTCTATATCATCAGGTCCCCATCCCCTGGCTGTTCCTAATTCTAAGCAGCACAAGCCTTTGCAGAAAATGGCACATGGACATCTCTTCTACATGTTCCTGCCCAGAAATCTGTCCTAGCTGCCTGTTGCTTTGGTTATACAGTGGTACCTTGGGTTAAGTACTTAATTTGTTCCAGGGGTCCGTTCTTAACCTGAAACTGTTCTTAACCTGAAGCACCACTTTAGTTAATGGGGCCTCCCGCTGCTGCCATGTCATTTCTGTTCTCATCCTGAAGCAAAGTTCTTCACCCGAGGTACTATTTCTGGGTTAGCGGAGTCTGTAACCTGAAGCGTATGTAACCTGAAGCGTATGTAACCTGAGGTACCACTGTACATGCACACATGCATACAACTTATCTGTTGTATACCAGCACTTATACAAGACAAACTACCTAACTCACAAGAAAAGCTACCTAGAGTTATCTAGCTATAAAATCTCACAGGGTTAAGGTTTGAGTGCTATAGCTTGTATGTTTCGCCACATGTCATGTGGTACATCCCAATGTTTCTTTCATTAAGAAAACAATGGTCACAGCTGAAACATTTTCCAATCTAGATAGAATTATGTTTCCCAAAGGACAGGGCTTGAAACTATCCCAACCTTTCTAAGGAGCAAAATTATGATTGGTTGACAAAGGTCAGGATCTCTGAACAGGGCAATCGGTTCCTTCTGACACAACGCTGTAAACAATGCTTTGTCGAGCCTGACATGAGTTTGCATTAACCTCCTTGCCTGGGTGTGTAATTGCATGGTGAAATAATACTGTCCCTAGCAGAGTTAAATGCCTTGTTATAAGAGATGCTTGTGAACTTCCAAGCATTGGGAATGCTCTGTTAACTTCACTGGGAGCTGAAGGGACTCAGAATGTGGGATTTATTTGTGTTGCTTACACCAGCAATATTTCTCCTAGGTCTTCAGGACAGCATGATTCATAGCATGACTGTCCTATGCCAAGGTTTCACATTACTCCTTGCTGAGGTGGCAGAAACATGCCTTGTAGCATCTGAGGATGTGTTCACCCTAGGGCAATTAAATTGGTCTAAAAGGACTTATAACATTTGTGCTGCCCAAGCTAGCAGATTAGTTTTACTAGTAGAAATGCAACGTGCATCACTTCCGCCACAGCTGGGTGCAATTGAGTTTCAAGCGAGACAAAATTAGCTCACTCTTCCCTGTTCTATTAGGCAAAGCTCTGCCCCTGCCCTTGCTGTTGAATATTCCTGGAGCGTCCATACATTTTTTAATGGATATGCCTGCCTTTTCTACTGGATACACCTGAAGCACACCTGTCAATAATATTAGATGCACCTGGCCCCAAAGTCCCATAGATACTGCATGAAGGAGCCAGAAGAGATCTGCAGAGGGACAGCGCTTCGATATATTTCTTTCTAGAACATGGGTGGATAACTTTGGGCACTCCAGGTGTTGTTCGACCACGTGACTATTGGCCATGGATGATGAGAGATGTAGTTCAGCAACACCTGGAGGCCCAACAGTTTTCCACCCCTGCTCTAGAGGGAATTGGCAGCGGGCCCATGAGTCAACCAGCTGCATCATTTTAACTATTCTGGCATTTCGTATAAATAAATAAATAAATAAATAAATAAATAAATAAATAAATATTTTTTTATTTATACCCCGCCCTTCCCGGTTGTACAGAGGTCCATGCTTTCAAGTGAATTTCTTGTCTACAGGCGAGTGGGAATGATGGCTCAGTTGGTACAGCATGAGAGTCTTAATCTCAGGATCATGGGTTGGAACCCCACATTGGGCAAAGGATTCTTGCATTGCAAGGGGGTTGGACTAGGTGGGCCTTGTGGTCCCTTCCAACTCTACAATTCTGTGAGTCTATGCAACAAGCAGCACTCTTCATTCCTTCTCCCCCCCCCCTAAACCTACCCAATTGTTTTATGGGCATTCCCGATTGTTTCAATTGTAGAGACTTAGACCGAAGGATGCCAAGAAGGTATGTTGCTGCACAAATTGAGAGCCCCACATGCATTCCCTAAGAATAGGCTTCTCATTTTACCCCCTTCAATGGAAGGAGCAACTATGTATCCCTTTGCATGTATCCCATTGTACTGCCAGAGCCAGTCTTCCACTGGAATGAGTGGCAAAGTCTATGTGTTTGGATTAGACTACAGCTGGCATTTAACAGGTGATACCTGCTCACTTCCACTTTGCAGGAAACGCCAAGTTCAGCCAGAATATTTTATAGTGACTTTTTTCAATTTTTAGTAGAATTTAAGAGCTGTTGGCTAAATGTTTCTGTGTTCTAACTGGGCAGATAGGTTCTTCACAACTGCTATTGAGTGTAAAGCCAAAAGGCTGGTTTTCTGCAGTAATAGATAGTTATCATCACAGAATATTTGCCTTATGAACAATGCATCATAAAAGTGGAGACACAATCTGTTACTCATCAAAATAATTAATCTGTCACTTAGGAGCAGATGAAAGTGATTGATTCATAAATGGTCTACAGTTAGGAATGGGCAGCCAAGTTTGCTGATGATATCAAATATATCAAATTGTTCAGGGTGGTTAAAACAAAAAGGGACTGTGAAGAGTTCTGAAAGGATCTTTCCAAACGGAATGAATGGGCAGTAAAATGGCAAATGCAATTCAATGTAAGCAAGTATAAAGTAGTGCACATTGAGGGGGGGGAGAGAATGTCTAAATTTCACATATATGCACACCTGGAGTCTGTAGTTACAGTAACTGACCAAGAATGAGACTTTGGTGTTGCGGTGGATAGTTTGATGAAAATGTTGACACAGTGTGTGGCAGCTGTGAAACGGGCAAATTCAACGCTAGCGGTCATTTGTAAAGCAATTGAAAACGAAATAGGCAATATTATAATGTCATTTTCAAAATCTGTGGTGCTACCAGACTTGAAATAGTGTGCACTGTTCTGGTCGTTTCACCTCAAAACAGATATCGTGCAGCTGGAAAGAGTTCAGAAAAGGGCAGCCAACATGACTGAGGCAATGGACCAAGTCCCCTCTGAGGAGCCATTACAACATTTGGGACTTTTAAGGTTGGAGAAAAGTCAAGTAAGAAGGGATGTAAGCAAGTAAG